AATGTGCAGGGTATGTTATGTTGTATGTACTATTTACAAATAATGGTTTAATATTACAAAAATATTTGTAAATACCCATTATTTGTAAATATATATACGCCATACCCTGTAAATTCACTTAGATTGCTCTGAAGATGTTGTATTGTAAACAACAAAATGTTGGCTAATATTTTTTTTACTTTAAAGTTATTTGCTTGGCTCTGCTTTTTATCTTTAAATCAACATTCTATTCTGGTAGATATATTGGGCCAGACAAGGTATAAGGTAATCCCTAAATGGCTATATAGCCTATATTATATCTTATACAGTACCAGTAAATGTTCCATGTCAACTGGTCATGCTATCTTGATATTGCACCCCGCCCTGTAGCATACAGTATATTATATAATGAACTGTCACCATAGAACAATATTTCAATTATATTTTTTAAGATATATTTATACATTAGTTTCGGTTTTGTTGATTCCGTGGGCAATCAACCACATTTTTGTGGCATTTCATGGGATGGTGACACAAACTGCAATGAGGTTTTGCCCGTTGATTTGGTGTTGCTTTGGTTGCCTCAACTTGAGATACTAAATAAGTGAAAGAAACATTAGATGATTTACATATGTGATATACTTTTATTATAATAATAAAAGTTTGTTTATTTATAACATGATGTGTGCAATATATAGCCTGCGTGGCAGGCCCTCAATTTTATGGCGGGCCTGATTTGCAGCGGGCAGGATTTTGGCGGGCTAGAATCCTGCCCGCTGCAAATCAAGCCCCCCATAAAATTGAGGGGCTGCCACGCAGGCTATGCAATATACTGTATATTTATTTTTCAAACCTGTTGATGTAGGAGGGACATCTTCCACAACCATAGCTCTCCTATCCTTTCTTTTCTTTTCTTTTCTTTATGGCCTCATCTCGTGGTTGCTTGGTCAGCATTGTGTTTATTGGCTCAGGAGTCATCTTCTTCAATTTGCCCTTCTCTTCTTCAAGGTCGCCTTTCCTTTGAGCATCCAGCAAGGTTTGATACATATCTTCAACATGGCCTGATCAGAGAATGTAATTTATTATATATACCTAAACTATTGATTTAAAAATATTTACTGCTATTTGCTCATAAAAATTATCTGGATTACTGTACATAAAAAAAATCTACCCAGCTGTCAAAAACTTCTGAAATTTGGGCATAAATGCTCTCCCTTCATCAACTAAAAATATGACTTCCAGAACCACATACTTACAAATGTTTGCAGCAACTTTTACATCCCGGACGGTAGCTTCACCATTCTTGAATTTGGGGTAGACCACTACAAGCTGCTCTGAACCATCTGAATTTGTTACCACTTTCCTGTTCAGGTTATGCTTGAAGTGAACTGCTGCAATAATGTGCCTAATATTAAGAAAGTGTGAATATATATTAAATATTTAAATATGATCTTTAAGAAAGTGTGAATATATATTAAATATTAAGAAAGAAAGTGTGAATATATATTAAATATTTAAATATGATCCATTGCCATATTTATAATAGGATATAGGTATATCCACACCTCACAGACAATAGACTGTATGCATAATGACGTCATAAGGCTCGATTCCCGCAAGGAATGCGGGTCTTAGTAATCATCGCCCGGGAAAATTTTGCTATTGGCCATTTTGATTGTTTAATTTTTCTTGAGCGATGAAAACTATAACCAGCATTCCATGCGGGCATCAATCCTTGTGACGTCATTATACATTATAAGGTTTATTAGTGGCAATTAGCAGGCAGCCGGGATAATTCACAGGCCATGGACAAAATATTTTCTGTGGGCCCCTAATACTATACTAACTACCTTCTAAATATTTGGTTTTCTCACTATTTGGGGGCCTGGGGAAAATTGACCCCCCCCCCCAGGCACCACTGCAATAACTTTTTATGTGTGAATATGATATATATGCACAATTACCTAATATACATGCCAGGATAGGAATAAGCAATCATCTTTGGTGCGAACTGGTTCAACACTGAGTGAAACCCCTCAAAACAGCTTGTTTGGGATAAGGAAGATGCTTTCTGGATTCCTTTCTTTAACCTCTTGTTTCCCAATTTTCGTTCCCAGTTCCCGCGATCATTAATATTACACCTAGGCCTTCAAATCTCGTGATTATTTTTTACAAACACCGTATTTATATTTACGATAAAATTACTAAAAATCTGGAAACAAATTTCAATACCCTACAAAATGAAACATCAAATCTCACCTTGTATAATCCAAAAAACGTCCTCTTCTTTTTCTTTGCGACTGCGAGCATGTGCATTCTTTAAGTTTTATGCGGAAGTTAATTTGATACGATATACGACGGACGATCGACACAATTAAGAGTCGATTTGACAGAAGGGTCGATTTGACAGAATTAAGACTGTCGATTTGACGGAAGGGTCGATTTAACACAATATTAATAGTCGATTTGACACAATTAAGAGTCAATTTGACAGAAGAGTCGAATTGACACATTTACGAGTCGATTTGACAGGAGGGTTTATTTGACACATTTAAGAGTCGATTTGACAAAAGGGTCAATTTGACACATTTAAGAGTAGATTTGACAGAAGGGTCGATTTGACACAATTAAGAGTCGATTTGACAGAAGGGTCGTTTCGACAAAAGGGTCGATTTCATTCCAGGGTCGATTTGACCTATGCGAGAGTCGTTCCGCGATGAAGAGCCGAAACGAAGCTCATAGGGGCCAAAGTGTTGATCAAAAGCGGCCCCTTTATGTGGGGCCAAAACAAACCCGGACGTGAGAGTCGTTTTGGTCTGTGTAGCCATATTGGAAATTGATGGGGCTAAATTGGAAAATGATGGGTCCGTTACGGCAAAGGGTAGGCCAATTTGGCTTTCCTCCATACCTAAAATGGCTCCGTCGGTGCAGATCCAGCTCTCCAATGCCAAAATGGCTTTCACATAGGGCAAAACAGCTTTGGCCCCAAAAGGGCTGAAACGGAATTTGGGGTCGATTTGGCCCTTTTTAACTTACAGTGTAACTAGACTATTGCGTGTATTGTAACTGTGCACCAGTTTTTGAAATTGGCTAATTGTTTTTTTCATATTTGCTAAAATTGTCAACCGGCGGAAGAGACTGCTATTGGTGATCATGCAACATTTTAGTTTGAGTGAAATTTATTCCACAAGACTGCGTCCTTCTGTTCACCAGGTGAAACTTTGACACACAATTTAATTATCATAAGCGACACATTGCCACGATTCATGCAATTAAGACGCGGATGAACCAGAATGCGTTAAGAGCTTGTCAGTTTTGCAATGTTAACATTATATTTAATGGGCCTATAATTACATGAGAATTACCCTATCGCAGTTATATATAACGTCCTAAAATTTGCCACTTAGATCAGTTCTGAAGACAACGCTCACAAAACAACGAAAAATTGGCTAACCTGAGTTTTTGTTCTCTTATAACAACAAAATGAAATGCTTTCTTCGAACTGCGCTCATGTCTGTGCGATTTGTGTTCCTGATCTTGTTGCCACTTGCAGTTAGAATGGAACAAGAATACTGCATCCCCGAGGATTACACAAACGTGGCGATTCCGTTTCGCTTGGTGTATGAAGGTAAGTTTAATTTTAACGAAACAAGTTTGTAGTGAATAAATCCTATGATGTAAACCAGGTTTATTTTATCTTTATCTTTATTCGTTCTATACTTCGGTATATCGAGCACTCTACTCATATATGATTCTAAATACATATTTGGTACATACATATAGGCCTATATATGTGTGTGTGTGTGTGCATGAATGCATGTGTGTGTGCGTGTGTGAATTTATTAAGATTCCAAGTCATTTTTGCCTGATAAATATTCTTTCCGTTGTAGATGTTTGCCCTTTGGTAAAAGACATTTTGTCTGAAGCAACGTACGATTCCCAGATTCATTGCGCCATCGATTGCCTACAAGATCCATTCTGTGCTGGATACAATTTTAAGAAAAAGCCCCAGAAGAAGACTCCAAACTGCCAGTTAACAGACACGATGTATCATCACTTTCATGATTGCTATACTGATGACAAAGGCTGGATATTTTATCATCCCCGTTGCCCCAAGAAGGGTATGGACTTTGTCTGAATTATATTATTAATACCTAGCACGCATGCTATGCCCACAGTCTTGGAAGGGTATTCATATTTGCGTAATTAGCTTGTTTGTGCCCAAGCGGCAGGAGAAAAGAATGCATGAAAATTTGGCGATCTTCACAAATTTTCCTATTAGCTATACCCTTATTGTTATATATCTAGGGTAAATACCAAACGTAAATGCAATGTATCCTGCAGGCAAGAATTGAAAATTCGCCCCCCCCCCCAACCTCCCCCCGAACTGGCTATGTAGTTACATATAAATGAACATTTTTTTGGCACAACTCGCAAGTTTATAAACTACGACTTTCCAAGTTTGTGCTGAAATAAAGAGTGTAAAAGAGAATAGAAATTGCACAACAGCAACAGGGTATGCTACCGAAACTATTTAAGTAAGTTATTTTAAACTAAACTCGTTTTCACCATACTAGAGCTTTTGTCGTGAAATACAATAATTTGAGGTAACGGTGTATGAATGTTGTTAAATCAGTAATAAATCCCACAATCTTTGACATATACATTGGGACAATGTAGTTTTCACATGCATTATAGGTTGTAATGTACCATTTCATGATATGTTTCATCCACCTTCCCTCCCCCCACTCGGCCCGTTTCAACGTTGGCCTCTCACAACTAGACATCAGATTATTGTCAGCCCATGCAGCATTGAACTGGGGGAACGCGGGAGGCTACACGTCTGTCCAATTATTTGATATTGCATCACCTGTCCAATAGTTTTTGTCAATGATTGTAGCGATGAAAATAAACTTCTATACTATATATAGGAATAAGTTAAATTAAACAAGGTTACTAACCCTATGTATAATAATAATGCCATTATTATTGTACAGAATCATGACTATTTTCCATGCCCTTCTGGTTTGTTAGTAGGGTTCCAATCCTAATATTTTTATATTCTTTCATGTAAAGCTGAATGGCAAGCCCCATGGCAATCCAAAAAATGGTTGACTATACCACAAGTTCTATGCGCATGCTTAATGTGCGATTTGTAGTAACCAAGGCGCTTTTTTAAATTGATGGAAGAACCGTCAGGGCGACACCCTCCGAATTAGAATCAACTCATTGCGTAAGATACACTACAAATTACGCTACACGTAAGAGAAGTCTCAATTCTAAATGCTTTGTTGGTGGCAGTAGAACGAAACCTATCGCCCGTTACCAATAAGTATAACAACGTTTCGCATCGTACTTAAAGCAACCTGATCAAGAACCATCTTCTTTAACCTCTCTTTCATAAATGTTGGAAGGTACTAAAAGTTATTTCATGATCATGTAGGTATTCGTTTATATCAAACACGTACAGTAAAGCACTATAGCGGGCAAGATTCCCTTGGCAACTTCACTGCCGGCTTTAATAATAGCTAAGTGTTTCTTAATGGTCTTTCCAATATCAGAAGCTGGGGGATTGTATTTAGTTAACATTGAAGACGCAACAAATACTATTACGTTTCCATTTAATTATACAAGCTTCTTCCCTTGTCAAATTGGAAACCTCTTTAACTATATACTCCGGAGATGATTTCCGTCATACGCACATTTAATTAAATAATTAAGAGGAGATTTTTTAAAAAGTCGCGTATTTTTTTTGAAAAACGCTCAAAACCTAGCGCCCAGGCCTTCGCGATAAAATGCTCGAAAGACAAACTGAACTTTTATACTGGATATTTTGTTATGTCATCGGGCAAAATATTGTTAAACACAAAGGAGGATAATGTGGTAACTGTAATGTCAAATTTAATGGCTGTTATTGGCATTATTATTATGTAAATATGCGCATGTCCCTGACTCAGAAGTGAGCATTTAATAAAGCTGATTTGAAACTTAAAAGTGACTGCTCTCGTCTTATGGATGATGGACAGCATTTTCACAACTCGTTAATATAGGTACATGGAAAACTTTGATTAAAGCATTTTCAAGGAAGAATTTGAGTATTTTTATATACAAATCCCAAGATTTGATAAATTACAGAAATATGCAACCTGCTGTGATGGATGTGATTTGATTTGGTAGGAGGGGTTGCTGAACAAGGGCCGGTCATAAAGCAGGGCCTGACCATCAACAGAAGGAGGATACATTATTTCAAAGGACACCAGAGGCCAGTCTGGAGGAGCCAAGCATGTCATTGATGTCAAAACAAAGTTGCCTATATGGTCATAAAGGCGCAATTTTTTTGTTGTTGGATAATTACCTCAGAATTAACCCAAAATACCCCCTCCCCCTCAATAATCTCAAGTAAATCCATCTCTCAAATGAACAACAAATGAAAAAACGCTTCTTTGTCAGATTTTTCTTCACAGCACTGATATTTCTTGTAAATCTCTGTGATATTAAATACTATTACAACTTTGAAGATATTATTATCTGACAACAACGACATCATTCTGATGACAGATATCTGTACATCGTGGAGTAATGTGTACATTCTATATACTGTTTTTCTAATATTCACACAGGAATGCATTTTATCTTAAATTAACAATTTGTTATTTAATTAATAATCATTTTCATCTTGTTTCATTTCTTGTATTCTTCAATAGCCTGCAAGGAAAGATCTTCTTAAAAAATCTGATATTTTGCAAGTGGCAGCACTCTCCCCCTGACGAGTAAAAATGTCTGGCGTTTGACAGAGTAAAATAAGAAAGTAGGGCACATCAGGGTGTAGTGCCACTTAAAGGGTTAATTGATGTTTGGCCCGGTAGAATTCCACGAATTTAGTTCGGCCCCGCACACCATTGTTTTTTAAATGAACAAGAAATAAGAAAGTATGCTTAATGAGTTTTTAAAACAAAAAGGTTCAGACATGGGATTTTTTTATGAAAGTTGGGTTTGCCTGATCAGCATGACAACCAGCCATATAAGGGATATATCACTGTGTAGCTTTGCACAAGACCTCACTTGAAAAAATTAAACCTCTGTTACCACGATAAGCATTTTCCCATATAAATAAACTAATTAAGTAATTAGTTTAACACCAGCACAAACCTAGAATGGACGACTTGCGCTTTACACTAAATTTTAAACTAAGTAAGAACAACGAAATCTATCACAACAGCTGGAAAGAGCGTCTTGGAATTAGTAATATTGCAAAATTTGGTTGCGATATGTTGTAAAATACGGAAAATATAGCACTTCAAATTTGGCAAATTTGTATGCTTTTGTATTACGTGCGTTAATTGGTAACTAAATTAGTTACCAATTTCCGCACGTAATAGAAATGTATACAAATTTGCCAACTTCACAGGGCTATATTTTCCGTATTTTACAACATTGTCCATTGTCTGTAGGTACTTAGCCAATGAGAAAACGAGAAGAGAGTACAATGAATAATACTAAAACTAATGACCAGATTGCACTCCAGACCTTTATAACTGCAATAAAAATAACAAAAGAAAATGCATTGCACATCAAAGGCCAGTTGTATATGTTGCATTGGTACGGTTTTGTAAAGATATGGCATTCTATTACTATTGTCCATGGTAACCAATTTTTCACGATTTCACATCTACAACTTCACGCTAAGGAATTTGGTGGACAGCTTTTTCATATCATTGATAAAAGTTACTTTTGAATTTTTTGAAGTCCAAACATATATTTCCTTAAACATCTTAGAGCCACCTTAATTAAATACCATGCTATTAAAACAATGAAAGCTAATGAAAATGGCCAAATTCTGCTAGGACCATCCCGTTAGGATATTCTATCGATACTAGGTTACATATATCTTGAAGGCTAAGAGTGAATTAAGTTATTTTATAGCAAAAATTACAAGTAATATCAAGCCTGGAAAAAATATAACAACATGGCAGAACTTGAAATAATAGCTTCAAAAATATTTCGAGGACCACCCCTTGGATTTGCTTCGAAAACAGCAATTATAATTTTAAGTATGTTAATTAAATTCAAGTTAAGCCTTACGACTGTAGAAATAATGGTTAAGGACAAATATGAGATTACTACACAATTTTTGTGCTTTTGTAATGTGTGTAAAAATAGCCCTAATTTGTACGAACATGTCAATAAAAAACACTGGCAATATTTGCATAACAATACATTAACCAGTCATTAAATTACATTGCCTTATACTTAGAATACACAGATGTGTATATATATAAAATTCTCTATAATTTACACGTGGTTTTAGCAGTAACAGGACAATATACACACAAGGAGTTACAAGCCAGTTGGAAGGAAAACAAATCAAAATACTTTGGGAAAATAAATAACCAATGATTGAACTTTAAACTACAATGGACACACCAGTTGCATGCAGTTACATAGATCTAGTCAAGTACAGCTGATTTAAAGCAAATTTGCCAGTAACGATACTGTGTAATGTGAAAACAGAGCAGATTAAGTTGTCCTACCTGGGTTATTCTTGTTTCATTACAAAATCGCCATGAAGGTTGTAGAAGCTTCATATTTGCTAAACGTGTTGTGAAGACTCCACCACTAGTATTTATTTTTTAATTTGACAGCTTTTTGTCACAAATTTAATAATTTATTCGTTCGCAATTGAATATTGCGCCGCTTTTTGTACAAAAAACGCATTCCAAACTAAATTGGGATTTTCCAAAGTACGAAATTTCGCGTATTTGTTTTAAATTATGCGGAATTTTTCTTTTTTTCCGCAAAATCTTGATGCTTTCCCAAAATATGTGCAAAAATAAAAAAAGCTTGCGCAAAAATTGACGTAAAAATCAAGCCGCGCGGAATTTCTTTCAATACTGCATTCGCAAAAACTGGTTAAAAATATTATAAGCGAAAAAATTCGCATTTGTTAGCGCATATTCCATATTTTAAAGTAAATTTTGCGTCCGATTACAAATATCCGCAGAAAACAGGAAATTAACTAGAAAATGTTGACACCACAGCGCTAATATCGGTTTGGTTGTCGAATTATACGGAATCTTTGTATTCTACTATTTCTTCCGCAAAAACGTGATAAAAAACAAGGTTTAAGTATAAGATTCTCTAAATTAATAAAAGACAACAGAATATTGATCATTGGAAGCTATATAAAAGGTTCAGAATTTCTGAACTCTGAAAATCTGAAATCAACGAACATAAGCGGAATATTTACGGTGAAAAAAGCTAAAAGGGGTTCAGAATTTCTGAGCCCTGAAAATCTGAAATCAGTGAACATAAGCGGAATATTTACGGGGAAGAAAGCTAAAAGGGGTTCAGAATTTCTGAACCCTGAAAATTTGAAATCAATTAATATAACTGAGCGGTATATTTAATTACGGCTAAGAAAACTAAAAGGGGTTCAGAATTTCTGAACCCTGAAAATCTGAAATCAATGAACATAAGCGGAATATTTACGGTGAAGAAAGCTAAAAGGGGTTCAGAAATTCTGAGCCCTGAAAATCTGAAATTAATGGATATAAGCGGAATATTTACGATGAAGAAAGCTAGAAGGGGTTCAGAATTTCTGAGCCCTGAAAATCTGAAATCAATGAACATAAGCGGAATATTTACGGCGAAGAAAGCTAAAAGGGGTTCAGAATTTCTGAACCCTGAAAATCTGAAATCAATTAATATAACTGAGCGGAATATTTAATTACGTACGGCTAAGAAAACTAAAAGGGGTTCAGAATTTCTGAACCCTGAAAATCTGAAATCAATGAACATAAGCGGAATTTTTACGGTGCATGAGAAAGCTAAAAGGGGTTCAGAAATTCGGAACCCTGAAAATCTGAAATTAATGGATATAAGTCAGTGGAATATTTACGATGAAGAAAGCTAGAAGGGGTTCAGAATTTCTGAACCCCGAAAATCTAAAATCAATGAACATAAGCGGAATATTTACGGCTAAGAAAACTAAAAGTGGTTCAGAATTTCTGAACCCTAAAAATCTGAAGTCAATTAATATAAGCGGAATATTTAGGGCGAAGAAAGCTAAAAGGGTTCAGAATAGGGGTTCAGAATTTCTGAACCCTGAATGAATCTAAAATCAATGTCAATGGACATAATCGGAATATTTACGGCGAAGAAAACTAAAAGGGGTTCAGAATTTCTGAACCCTGAAAATCTGAAACAATGACTATCACAATGAACTATAAGCGGAATATTTATATAAGCGGAAACTCTGAAATAAATGGCAATGTCAATGAACATAACTCATAAGCGGGATGTTTACGGCGAAGAATTAAACACGTTCTAGCGGTTCTACAATAGAGTTGCATATTCTATTTTGATAAAATCTTATACGAGATTTGAGGAAGAATTTGCAATGAATGTTGAAAATTTTGGAAAAAGCTTGCCAAAAATTGTGTTACGATATTTTCAAATATTCGATTCCTCTTATACAAGAAATTTTAAACCAACCATTTAGATCGACAAAGCCGTCAAAGGTCTATTTCTACTGCATTCCATGCAAAAAGTATGACTGACTTTTTTTAAGAATATATGATTATAATATTCAATAATAATGGCCAGAAATTTAATGGTAATGTCATGCACAATATAATTCGCGCATTTTATGTGAAATTAGCAAACTTTTATAAAACTCTGGATACATTTGTAGACTAGCATTCTAAAGATCGACGTTCATGATTGGTAAATTATCCAATCTTTTGTGGGAAAATGCATTACTATAATATTAATAAAGGCGAAATAGGAGTTTGGTTCATAATCATAAACTTTATATCACGAGGTATATTACTTTCTTATCGTCAAGTTTCATAGATAGCAGAGCTATTAATTATATAGGTTGTTCGTGTAGGATGGTCGATAGGCTATTGGCGTATTGCTATAGTGTCGGGGTGCTATCTTTTAAATTTTTGGTCAGCAGGGATGAAACGTTCTGAACTATAGTTATGTATAGCAATTTTTTACAGGCTGCGTATGTAATACTGTGTCTACTTGCTAGCCTAGGAACTGATGTTTGTGCGTTCGAATGCGATCTGCAAATCAGCGCAAATTGAATAACTCGTTAATTAATAAAATATATTTAAATTTTTTCACTATTATCTCACAGTTATAGGAAATTGATAAATGATCAAACTGTGTCTTGCTTTTCACCTTATAAATTAAACCATCGAGTTTATTATTGACCCACCATCATTCATCGCCCCATGGTAAAGAATTGACTACGTAGATACATACATGTAATAAACTCTGACTGTAATATTATATTACAGCTAGTGTCTGATCATACATTTATAAACTAAAGCAAATTATTTCCTACCAAATTCAGATTTCAGAAGCATTTTATGAAACACTCTTTATCCGTTTGTCGACGCTGATAAGACAATATGACATACCGAAAGATTGGAAAGACATAATATGACAACAGTGTTTCCCAGTGCGTCCCGGGCTTTAAGGGATATTTATATAAACTCGAAATTCATCATAAAAAAAGATAAATTGGGAG